CTTAAACTCTTTGCAATAAACGTAACAACAGATTCTGCTTCAACTTTAGCAGCAAGTACGACGTCTACTATAATAAAAAACGATAGAAATCAGAAAACTTGATTATTAATAAGCATATTGAGTACTCGTCAAATAAACAAAACACCTTCCGCCTACACCGAGTCATGTGCATCGAAGACAAATTTAACTTAAGCTTAACAGTCATTATCAAAAACCCAGAAAGTTTTATATCAAGATTAATTTGATCCTTGAGGTCTTTAGATTTAATTATATAGTTAATTTTTAGCGTTTTACAATACTCGTAGATAATTTCATTGGGATCGACGAATAATTAGTCAATCATAACTATAATCAGTCAACGCGATTATTGTATTGATAACGAAATGTTGGTCACCACATATTTTTCCTCCGTATGGTCAACCCCACACGTCGAAAATACATAAAAGTTAAATTTCACAACGTTTTGTGTTGTTTGAATTGTCTTATTTGGTGAAAACGCGGTACACCAGTCACGAGTTTAACAGATCTTTGGTCGAGTTATGTACACGCCGTTCTCATTTGTTGTAACTGAAGAGCAATTGTTTTACATATTAGCCTATTATTTTTAATCAAACAATTATGGTTTTAACACGGACTGATAGGGATCTAAAACGGATTTCAATAAAAGGATTTCCAGCTACTGTACTCGGTGTGTACATGGACCACAGTTGAATACCTTTGCTCCAAATGACAACCTGGTTTAATGTTGTTCAAGGCCGTGTGGGATGTTAGTCGAACGCAAACGATCCGTAAAAACGAACACGCGCAAACAATGTAGTTGCATAAGACACCAACGCATCGACAGCTATTGCATTTTCTCACTTAAAGTTATTTTCTATAACTTACTAAGGTCGAATTAAATTCGAGTTCTTATTCAACTGTGTCTCGGCAGGTATTACATGTTAATTCTTGTATTTATTTTATCCATTCGAATTTTCATATCCGATTCAGTGTACCAGTCGCTTTAATTCCTAAAACACAAAACACAAAACCAAATTATGGTCAAATCATAAAATGTGTCTGTAATCAAAATTTATAATAATTTATATAAAAGAATTTAATGAAAGGTCAGAAGCTTATCAAAACCAATTCAGTAAAGTAAAAATGAATTGTTTCAAATGTTTAATTATTCATAATAATTAAATATAATGGGATCTTATTCGTCTCTCTCGCCTTTATCCCAACTAGTTAATGTCCGGCTATTCATGTCCTAAAACTTCACTTAAAACCATTTTTTATACAAAAGCCAGCAGTCCTCGTATCGCCCCTATTATATCCAACCATTTCTTTTTCGTTCTTCCTCTTACTCTTTTTTTTTCAACGTTCATTTCCATAACTGTTCTTACAGCTTCCGATTTCTCTCACCTGATAATATGATGATACTCATATGCTTCCTTTTACATATTCATTCCTTATCCTATTTTCTCTCATCACTTCACTCATCCATCTAAACATTATAATTTGCTACACTGATTCTCTACTTTACATTCTTGTCAATCGCTCAACACTCAGACCCAGACAACATAGTTTGTCTCACTGCAGTCTTATAGAACTTACCTTTTAGCCTCATTGGGATGATGAATTAATATGTTCACAATTCAATTTGCAATAAATCATTGAATAATTATTAGCCAAGAGAATCAGATTGTACATATCAGTATACAAATATTTGTCAACCAATTTTAATGGTAAAATTCAAATACAATCGACTTAAATAAAAATAGTGCTACAGATGGTAATTAATCTATTGGAATGATGCGTATTTTTTATCTTTTCCAAGTCGTTATATTAAAACTAATGTTAGTACAACAAAAATAATAGCTGTTTCTTTTTTGGAAATCAAATTTATTTCAGAATATTTTTAATAATTACAAACAAAAGTTATTAAGATAATTGAAATATTTTTGGTCTATAACATATACGTCACATAAAGTTCTCATAAAAAACTTTAAAATTATTAAAAGTGTATTATTTAACTTATCAAGTTAAGTTTTAATATTTAATATTAATAAAACAAGTACTTTTTCCATAGAAAAAAACTTAAGATTTCCCCAAATTAGGCAATAACCTACTTTTATTTTTAAATAATTTCTTTATATTTGTATCAATTAGTCGAAATTACGTCATATGATCATTTCCATATCAAAAACTCGTATTTTATTTCACGTTAAATACTAAAAATATATTTTAATTAGTCATGAAATATACATAAGAGAAATTAAATTGAAATTAAGTTAATGTAAAATCTAAATTTTTCGATCAAGTTAAAAAGTTTAATTGAACTTTAACTTATTGACTTGTTTAAGCTTTGTAAAAGATTCACCAAATTTAAGACAAATATTAAATTACTTTCAGTTTGTGTATGATTTTTCAAAAAGAAATTCTTAACAGAAAATAAAATCAAATAGGTTTTGTGCTTCATTTTAATTTTGATTTTTTAAGTATTATGCATTCTGTTCTAAATCATATCAAACAATGAAGTCTGATTTTTTCATGCTCATAACAAGTTTTGATCATAAAAACTGAGAGCGTTCTTCCTGTTTTTTTTTTCTTCGTATGAATGCGTCATTTTCTTTTCGTTCATTTCTAGAGTAAACATGGCGTTTTCAAAATCGCATAACACAAAGTAGTGTAATTAAACGTAAAATAACTTGTGCGGATGATGGTCAAGTTATCGTAATAATGTATTAATACTTTATATTACACATTTCGGGACGATGATGGGAACCGGACGTGTTTTAAGAACAGCAGTCTTAAAAAAAAATACATGCGCACAAGAACATAAAATCATAACCGGAAAAATGCATCCGGTTACGGCTCAACGTCTCGTTTAATTTGTGTTACACAAGTCCTGATACATATTAACTGTCTTAATTATCCAGACAGTACGTTTGAGAACCGGTCGAATATTCGCAAAAAAATATACCTACTTTACTTACCACGTGAAGATCTGCACTAATTAGCGTAGAACAAATTACGTTATTAATAACGTATCAATTAATTATCGTAGTAGGTAATTATTCAACGGTAAAAATTAAGTCTCCTAGTGTCTTATATGTTTTATAATTATAATTATTACTTGATAGATTTTGCACCTGATATTATAAGTATTTGTAATTACATACTAACTGTCTGTTTTCTACGACCGCCGGCTACCGTATACATTCACTGCAAAATTATTTGCATATTAATTAACTTACTGGAAAGATAGATTTTTCCTTTTGTTGTCTTCGAGTCGAACTTGGAAAACAAATTTCCAGTTTTCATTCAAATTTATTTTTCCATATTTAATTTAAGTCGCTCATAAGTTTCAAAAAGCTGTTTAACGATAAACTTTTACAGTCTTTTTAGTCGCTCGAATCATTTTAAAGATGATGCAGAGGTTTTAAAATAATTAAAGAAACTGTGGTATATTTTGTAATGTTTTATTGGATTCCAATAACAACTACTTGGCTGACCCCAAAGGTCACTTATACCTTAAAGGGTATAAGGCAAAAATGGTAGTTGTTCATTATTTTTTCTATTTTAATTTTTAATTTAAATCCAATAGCTTTTTAGTGTTTTTTTTTTTTTAACACGCTTTTTAGTGGTAGTATCAAGCAATGAAATCCATTGGGGACAAATTTTACTGATAAAATTATAGGAATTTATAACTTAGATTTTTCTTTTCTGTAAAATATATATAAATGAACTTCACCTTTTTCCCTGTACTCTTAAAGTATTTATGGGACTGATACTAAAAATATTTATACGTTTATAACATTTTAACACTATGATAACGATAATTATTCAAAGTCATAAAAAAATGTTGACTTTTTCATATAATAAACAGGTTTAAAATACAGTAAAAGTCACAAAACCTTCTTTTTTCATAATTAGAAGTGTAAAAGAAATCAGCAACAAGTATGTAAAACCCAAAATTTACCTGCGTAATTGTTTATGAAAACTTCCTGAAACCGTTCGATTACATACTTCAGAAGTCTCTCATTCATTATTACATCATTTATATTCTTCAAGTATGAGTATTATACTTCACAATAATATATAATGTTATTGTGACGTGTACAAACAATTAGAGCGAGTGAATTCGCAGAAACTATAATTTATTTTGTTTTTTAACTAGTGAGATTCAATCTCGAAGTCTCATAGAACATTATCGTATTATTAAATTGTTGGTATCCGATTATTTTTGTTTTTTACTGTTATATTTTATATTAACTGCATTATAGATTATTGTAAAATCTTAAACATCTTGAATATCTGAATTAGCATAATCCGTAGATTGTAATGAAATATTTGAGCAACGCATCAAAAATTTTCACATTAAGTGCAACTTGTTGACTGTTTAGAAAGTCATTTAAAATATAAAAATTTATTATTTTATCAAGAAAAAATGAATGCATCAGAAGTTGGCTTAATTATGTAAAACTAATTTTCAGACATCTGATGTTCAATTAAAAAAATAAATAAGCTTAAGAGATTTTGTATAAAATTATTTCACTTTAACTGGATTTCTCATTTAAATGTTTCATGTTTGATAAGTTTACAAGAAATTATATAATTAAAACTCGATGGTTTAATTAATATTTACCTTTTTTACACTAATTGGAAAAAAGTGAAACGCCTTTACCTGTAGGTATGTTTATATTTTTTGAATAATATTTCGATTACACTCAAAATAATAGAAATCGGTTTAACTTTAATTTATTCTATAAAATCTGTAAACGGGTTTAAACTTCAAAAAACGAAGCCTATTATTATTATGAGATGATTTGTTTAAATAAATTAGATGTACTTTTCTTACTGGAGTAAATTAACGTAATTTATCTTATCTCACTTAAAGAGAAACCTCTTTAACTATTACTTTCCATTGTCCCTAACTGCATTTTTGTCATCGCATGACGTAACATACAAACACTTGTGGTCTTCGTAAACACATAAACGATAAGAAAACAACAAAAGTTAAAAAATAAAATGTTTAATTACACTTTAAATTTAAAAAAATACAAAAAAATGTCATATAAATAGGTAGAAAAATAATAATATTAAATATCTAAGTAAAATAATAACTATAACAAAAATATTGCACTTCGTTACGCCTTAAATCTAATACACTTACGAGTATTTTTAATTTACTTAATCTATTGACATAATACATTCAAGTAAAAGAGTCGTTTAGTTTCCTGGATATTTTTTTTTTGGCAAACCCCAACGCGTTTATAGTATTGAGGAATAACATTTGATTTCTTTAAGCGAATAGTTGATAAAGTTTTACTAATTTCACACTTTGATTTGAATATAAATTTCTTAAAAAAACATAATATGGAAAACTAAAAATAACTTATCGAATTTTTGGGCATCCACATACTACTAATAATGACATCGCGACGCATTGGCAATGAATACATTGAAAATTTTTATTTTGAATACTTGAAAAATTGTAACTAAATATTGGACGAGTACGGTGTTTCCCCGCGAGACTATTTAAAATTGTATACAGCAAACACGATAGTTAAATGAAGTGAAATAAAAAATGGTCGACGTTTATTTTACGTGTAGTAGTCGTTGTACAGCTGTCCGTTGTCTTCTGGTACATATTTGAGCAAAGTGATGGGCGTCGGTGCGGACGCCAGTTTTGGCGATGGGACAGTAGTTGTCGAGTTGTCGGCTGGGAACAAGACGGGTCCGGACTTGGCAACGACAGACGACACCGTCGACGAGGGCGACGGAAGGAGTGGTTCAAAGGCCGACGCGTCAATAGAGTCGTAGTAGTGTTTGGGCGCGGAATAGTATTGTGGACTGGGCGCGGAATAGTATTGTGGACTGGGCGCGGCAGGTGGGGCGGTTGCGTAATATTTAGGCGATTCGTATGACACAGCTCTCAAACCGTTGTTGAGATAAGCTATGTAATCAACGGAAGCGGCGGCCTTTTGGTGTGCAGTCGGTTGCGCGTAGTAGCGATTCAACGGCGGCGGGTACTTGGACGGTGCTGACGGTTTGAACGCCGCCGGTTTTTGTACCGGTGCGTACTTTTTCACTGGATGGACGTTGTGGCCACTTTTGGTTACGACCGCATTGAATCCGTTGCGACTGTCGGCCGTGTAGTCTACAGTTCTAATTGACCCGTCTGGTTCCATCAAGCTGTAGGATCCCTTGACAACATCACCCTCCCTGCGCTCCCATTGGCTCTTCAGATCACCCGTGTGCATATCCTTGACACCATAATTGAAATGGTAGCTAGGCACGCTCTGAAAAACCAAACAATCGTATGTTACACATATGTATGTGTGTGTATTAGTGACACGGAACGGCTCCAAAACACAACGATTATAAGCAAAGGTATAGAAAATCAACGAACAGTACTGTGCTTAAAAAACAGTGTACTCGATATTATCTTGTTCGTGTATTACGCAAAAAACCAACGTATCATTTAGTTGACTTTTTCAAATAACAGTTCTACGATTATATACGCGTCATTAATGCGTTGTTTTTTTCAAATAATAACTCGGTAATTATTGCAATGAAATCGCTCAACTATCCCGCCTTCCGTTTAAAAAACTAATCACTGCGCCCGTTTGCATTCTGTACAGAAAAATGCGCTCGAGATTTCGTAAACACCAAGACCAATATTAACTGGATGATATCTCGCGTGTGGGATTTCATGTTTTAGAAAATTCCGTCGAAATATTGTGTAACTATTTATTATACAAAGTGTTCATGTGACATGATGTTTAAAGTTTCTGAAATATCCGCAGGACGTTATTATTTACGAAACGCGTGTGGTAAGTCTCACAACCGCATAAGAACGTTTTTCGATAATAGACACAATAATTATTTGTTTATAATTTGTCCATTGTAGTACGCGCCTTCTCCGACAACGGTTTCCCAAGATTCTAGACTCGATTAAAACGCAGAACTACTACTAATTACCCACCGACCGGCCTAAAGTACCGAAACTGGTTTACACGAAACCCGAGACTATTTTAGTGACAAGTAATTTACCGTTACACAACTTTGAGATTTTTCTTTCGACTACGTCCTCAAAATAGAAAAAAAAATCATTTTTTTTTTTCTAATTAACAGTACTGTTTTCGTTAAAACAACAGTTGAGCTCGCCAATGGCGACAAAATGAAAAAAAACCGATACCGTATCCTCTGTCTCGTCGTCAACCGATTACACAAACGGTAATATGATTTATATGCCGTAACGCGAACGTGTATAATTTCCGAAAACAATTAAACGAGCATTGCAAAATGTTTAACAGTTTAAAACATTTGTCGGACGCAGCAGTAGAAGACGGTCGAGGTACGGGACACGTTGGCGCGATAAAACAATTGCTATTTATTTACTTTGTATGACAGAACACACGCCCTTTGTAATGGTGTGCCGTTGCGTTTGAATTTTTTCCAATCGAGTGTGTAATTTACTGAGCGCCCATTTATCAGGTATTGTGTGTTTCATTAGCAACGCTGCGATCGTGAACAGCAGCGATTACGTTTAAAAAGTGTAACGCGGCAAAAAAACTGAAATGGCAGCGAGGAAAAATTTGCCGGGCTTAAAACAATGGGCGGCAGTGCAATGTACGTGATAATAAATTGTTGTGCATTACTTACATAATGATGGTCGTCGTCGGCGTCGCTTGAATCGTGTGCCGCACGTACGGAGACAGACAACAAGAACACGAGTAGATACGGTACGATGACCACCGGTCGCAGCATTGTCATCTCTGTTGGATATCAAGTACCTGCGCAACAAAACACATACAGACATGATAAACGTGTACGTTAAAACGGCAGCAGTGCCGCCGATATTGTTATTATTAATTGTTCGTAACGACTATTGTTATTCAGCGGACGAAAAAATGCACTCGAGATCGTCACGGTTCGCTTGTCCAGATGAAATCCGTCCGATAATATTATCAATAGAGTACACATCGTGTGTGCTCAGCAGACGGATTTATTTGATTTTTTTACTTTTCTCTGTGCCATTGCATTCGTTCGAATAGTCCAAAATCAGATAAAACTTTCTTAATCTCCTACTATTATTAGTTGTTATAGTCGCTGTTATGTAACCGTGCACTTGGTAGTGGGCATTTTCAAAACGGGGCGCGCGCAACGCTTTTTTTACCATTCGTTTGTTGTCGTTTCGCGGACACCTTAATTTCTTAATCGTCTGCACAACGCAACGTTGCGGCGCACGTGGGCAGGCGATTTTTGTTAACACATCTCTTCGGGACACGACAAATGGCGGGTTAAGTCGGGTCGAGTTCAAAATGAGAGAAAACTCGAATCTGATTTCGCGATTCTCCGTGCCGATTTGCGAAATTCCCAAACACGACAAAACGATTGAAGAACGTCCAAAAACCGACTTGTGATTGTCTCCCCTTGGAACAGCATCACGTTCGACGCGGATTTCGCAAAAAAAGCTTTTCGCCCACGGCCTTGTAACAACCGATCGGTCAGAAAAATAATAACAGCACACTGACCGTTACAGCCGCCGATTCCAAAGAGCGGCCGCATTCTTGAGCGGCTGCCGCGGTTTCAATAATAGTAATTATTTAAAAAACCGTTCGTTAAAGTCTTTATAATTTTATGGTCTCGTTCAGATTGTTCTTACGGCATCTTGCGCAACCGCGACATTGTCTTTAACGTTTGTTTTCATTATGATAGTTTTCATTATTATAACAATAATTATATTTGGTTTGATGTGACCCAGATGTGAGTACGGTGGCCCCGTGCAGAACGGTCTTCGGAATTTTTGCAACGAAAAGCATAGAATAATAGAAATTAATATGTTGAGCAAAAAGTGACCATGGGCCCAGAAACTGAATCATGACGGTCGATTTTTTCTTTGAAATAAGACCATCCTCTGACATTGATAGCACACGAGTAACGTTTTAAAGGTAATAAACGGATTTCATTTTGAACGACGCTGAATTTTTCGAAAATTGTTATCGGTTTTCGTTTCCACGCTCTTACACATAACGTCGTATGCAAAATGTCCTTCTGTCGTTGTTGCGAATAATATTCGTAAAAATCATATAAACACGTGACGCCGTAGCGAATCGATGAGTTATTTTTTACTGAATTATGATTTATTAACTATTGTACAACAAGTAATTGCTCCTTACGTTTCGGTAATTCACACACGCTATGTTATGTTATGATTCCAAGTTTGAACGTTTATATTATCTTCTTCTATTCTCGACAATGTCTATTTGACATGGTGTGAATTGACATGATATTTAACGAGGTGTCGTTGATGTCTAGAGTATGTTACCATCATTATTATTACTACTGCTAATATTCCTAGGTGAAAGTGACCCTTGTCCAGGAAATAGGGTAAACAAAACATACCAAATGTAATGAGAAGTGAAAAAATCTAAATATCATTGCCGAAAGTGGTAAAACAATATTTTAACGACAAACAATTACACGTGTTAAACATGCTTCTAATAGTTATATTAAATTTGCCATTCAATCAATTACAGGGTTTCTCCTCAAATCACTGGACTAGTGACTTGCAGCCATAACATAATGTGACCATTAATATTGATCATGGCTTTGAATAAGTAAACTCACACTTTTTTATTGTCTTCAATACGCTGTATATGTTTTTTTAAGGTCATTGTTCATTATAATGCACTAAATATATTTCGCTACAACGCTGAAGAATTTTGTTGGTAATTGTTTTATATGTTCTCATATATAATCTATTTAGAATTTTAAATTTGAATTCTTATAAGAATACAGTTTTAAATACAACTTAACGAAAATCGTATGTATTTTTAAAAGGGATATAATAAAAAACACTACTTGGACGTTGAAAAAAAAAAAACTTTCAAATATTCAAGAAGTTTTTGTATAATATGTAATAATAGGATAGTACTATCTAATGGTTATTAAGCTGAATTTTGAATAAACAAAAAAATCAAATCTAAGTTATTTCAACATACAAAAAACGAGTAACTTAGATAATTTATACTGATCTATAACTTACTATATGTCAATTTCTTTGTAAAAACGATTCGATTAATTTAAGCAACTCATTCGCAAGATATGTATCATACAAGGCTGGAAATAAAAGATTTAATAAGCAAAAGTTATGTTGCAATTTTTAGCTCAAAGGAGATACTTAGATTTTACGTTAATGTAATATCATTTGGGTTCATTTAACGACAAATTTTCGTATATTTTTTTATATTTTTTTGTTAAATAATTTTTTTAATAAAATTTTCTAATAGGTCGACAAATTTTTGAAAAATTAACATTTATCAAAAAACTCTTATAATGTTTGTCACACTTTAAATGTGTATTTCTCCAAAAAAAAAAAATTCAAATGATCGATATACGCGGTTTTGTTGTGGAGACATTCATATGCATAATTTTCACTAGTTTACATAAAAATATATTTTCGGAAGATTAAATAGTGTATATTTATGTCATACATTTTTTTTATACTTGAAAAATCATGTTTTGTTGCATAAAAAAATGTTTCGGAAGGAAAATATTTGATCATGAATATGATAATCTGGCAAACCTACTAGCGCTTGTATTAACTTAACTCGTTAAGTCAATTAAACTTTTATTTTAAATAAAACGCAATAATTGATAAAGATGTTTTCTTACAGATAAAAAATATTATTTATGTTATTAAGAATACTTCTATGAAGTATGTTATAAGTATAATAAAAAATTTGTTTGTTTAATAAACTTAATTCAGCTTTATTGTGATTTTTAGAACAATTAGAGGTGGTCACTAATGGATTTTGATTCTATTCAACTAAGTTAAATTCGCAAAATAAAATTGTGTGTAACACGATTTTTAAATTGTGCAGAGGATTTAGAAGAACAAATCGTTTATCTAAATAAATTTATAATTTATACTATTTCTCTAAAATTTAATGTACATAATTATCCTAATTGAACATATAACCAAGTCTGTTTTATGTGACTTCTGTATAAGCTACACGTATATATATATATATATATATATAT